CTTTAAAACTAGTCACTGTACTTAATATGCATGAAATTGTTGAACAGAACATACAAAGAAATTAAGATAAAAAATAAAGTAAAAACAAATATAGAATAATCATAAGAGTACAAGAGTGGTTCCTTATAATCCAGGGCCTTGTTACAGAGGGCTTGCTGGTTGTTTGAAAGATTCAGGTTTGCTGGCTGTACTTTGCAGATCTGGAAACTATGTCCATCTTTCATGTATGAGACTCCCCTTTTGTAAACTAGAGTCAGTTAAAAAACAAGATACTTTTCCATTATGCGTTGTAGGACATGATAAAAGAGAAAAGTTCTGTGCAGTCACACACGAAGTGGGACAGATGGTAACAATATCTGCAGATGTGTTTGATTATAGGATGTGTAACATCATGCGCTCAATGCAATGACTGTGAAACGTTTTAACAGTCGCTGATTGAATGAGATTAAAATCAAAATTCCCACTTGTCCTGATTAACGCATGGTGATGTCGTGAATGCCCACCTTGACGTCAGCCGCAGCCAATAGGATTTCACGGTCATTGCAGAAGCCCTGCCCACTTTAGCAAGTGCAGTCTGTAGCGGTAACAGGGTCCGCCCCCTGTCTCTGCAGATAAAGGGTCGCAGTCTGCTATCCCAGGCATGGATGACGGTTGTAGTGAGACATGGCAGTGCGACATTACACTCTCGACTTCAACCTCTCTACAGCAGGTAGGAGGAAGGTGATGCATAGCTGACTGTAGGAGGGTCTTTCGTTACATTTCGTTATGCATCAGGGCTGCATGCTTTGCTAGCCTGCTAATTTTGGCCTGCTAATTGATAGTCAATACTGCCAGGATTATAAAGTGCCACTGGTACGTTGCCCATGTTTAGGCACTATATGCATTTGCCCTAGTGCTATGCTGCTTGTGCCCACCAGTACAAACCCCTGTCCGTAGGCAGGTACGGCTTGACACTGGTAGGCCACTATTAGCTCGTGAACTGTCACATCAGTATGCATATTTAATGTTAATGGCACATATTTACAGGTCAGCGTAAATGTCTGTTTAGCAGGCATCTTTGTGGATAATGCAGCGCAAGCAACTACGGTTGAAACCAAAGTCACATCACTGTCAGTGCAGCATAAGCTTCTAATTCAAGCTCAGTTAGCTTTGGCTAGCATGGCTATGATTAGCCTAGCCGTGTTAGCAAGTCTCTATAATCAATAACAGAGGGCCCGAGCGATCTCATCAAATAGTTGCGCAAAGTACAGCTTGAATTAGTATAATGCGGATATGTTTTATGATTTATAGGACTTATACAGGTGTGTCTGTTTTGTAAGTATAAATTATAACATCAAGTGTGAGTAATCGTTGTTTAATCATGCAGCACGCGCTCTTCGTCGACCTAAGTCTGTGACCCCGTTAACACTCGATAATCATTAAACACATGTAGTAAATTGGCACCCGTGCGCTTTGAGGGCTCTGCCAGACATTTATAGTCCAATAAAATCGTCCAGGAAGACGTGCATTTCTGCCATTGTTGTGGTTTTACCATTAACTGATAGTGGTGTGAGAATGAAGCTATGAAGATTCTCTCAAACTGTCATTATAGGCGCTTTTTTTTTTCTTCTTTTTTTTTTTAAACCCCTTTGTTTCAGAAGTCTGTTTAGAGGAACCAAAGTTTATCACAGATAATAAATTAAGTATATGATACTGAAAGTGAAGTGCAGCTGTATTTGATTAATATATTTTTGTTCACATCAGATTTATTTGCTCCCTCTTTCAGTTGACCCTGCCTCGACAGTGTCTGGTCTGCTGTCTATATTTCATGAACAGGAACTGACGGAGACTATTCATGATACAGATGGGCATGGTTACCTTGCTACCTTTGTGGGCAAGAATGGCAGG